ATAAAGAAAAAAAAAACTAAGAGAAGCCAGAGAGAAGGAAGAAAACACCTTATTTGTAGAGGAATTAAGAATAATATCCCACTTCTCAGAAGCCAAGCAAGAACTGAATGTAGTGAAATATTGGCAGTGTTGAGAAGAGTTTGAAAGGGAAAAGGAGAAAAAAAAGCTTTGGAAGAGCACAGTGGAGTGAGCTCCACACCTTGATGGTGGCGGGGGGGCGGTGGGGGGCGGGCGGGCATCTGAGAGTCGAAGAAAACCATTCTTCTGCTTCCTGCCTGGACCTCTCGGGGATGCAAACACCGCATTATCTGCTCCTTTCATCCACATCATATAAGTCATTAGAGTTGGCATCATGGTGCCCCTTGGGATGCAAGACACCCCATTTCCCTTGAATCTAAGTGGTGTGCAAGAGAATCCTGCAGTTTATTATGACTTCAAGCCTGGCATGAGGTTGGCAGGGGAGGGGGGTAGTTTTAGGGCCCACCAGCCGGTATGCCTGCTCTTGGGGTCACGTGGTTAAGCAACCACGTGTCATTGCATCAAAAGGTGATGCTGCATGTGCATGTTAGGAGCCCAGAGAAAATCTGGTCACGGCTTCAAGACTGAGTGCAGGCAGGAGTTGAAGTGAGAACGGGGCTCTGACTGAGAAAGACACAGGCGCCACTGACGTCCAGAAGATCGCTATAGTCAACAAACAGTGGACACAATCCAGCCCCTACTACTCATTTCCTTGGAATATTGGAGCTGTCTGGCAGCTAGAGCTTCTGAGCTCTAGTCTGTAAATGGGACACAATGTAAATGGGTTTCAACTGACCTGAAAAATCACTGGATTTCACAGGGACAAAAGCAGGACGGGGTTAGATCAACTTGTACTGGAGAGATGGGGTGCAGACTGATCTGTTTTTTCAGTTATGAAATCAAAGAACATTACAAAATGGCACACCTGCGTTGGAGACTGAATTTCCATACACGCTGAACGGGTTTTTTTGTTTTTAAGCTGAATGTTTGTTCTTTTGGACCTATCACAACATCCCCAAGTTCAAAACAAAACAAAACAAAACAAAACAAAACAAAACAAAACAAAACAAAACAAAACAAAACAACACTTTGACACGGTTGTATGTCAAAACTAGTCACGTCAAAAAATTATATACCAAACTTCCAGTTGTAAAATAAGTAATTCCTGGGGGATGTAATGCACAGCATGGTGACCATAGTCACTAATACTGTATTGCACATTTGAAAGTTGCTAAGTGGTACTAACATCTTACAAAATTCTCAACAGAAGAAAAAAGTGTTGTGACCATGTGGCGATGGATGGTAACTAGACTTATTGTGGTAATCGTTTTGCAATATATATAAATATCAAATCATTATGTTGTGCACCTGAAACTAATATAATGTTATATGCCAGTTATAGCTCAGATAGGTAGGTAGGTAGGTAGATAGATAGACAGAGACAGAGACAGAGAGAGAGAGAGAGAGAGAGAGGGAGAGAGAGAGATGGCATATATCCAGGACTTGAGGATTGCAGGGACAGTTTGAGAAGAGATCACTGTCTTTTTTTTCTTTTTGCCACACAAAATAATAAGGATACCACCAAGAATAAAGTAGTAAATAACAAAAAGTTTACCATCATGAATTGAAAGGAAGGCCAAACATACAGCATAGTTTTTGAAAAGAAACATCCAGTGAATAAAAGCAATGTCTAAGGATCCACGCAACTTATGATAGTTAAAACTGTGTTCATAATAAACCCTAAAGTCTTAAATGCCATTTAATTAGGAAGCACAAAATTAAATAAATTAAACATCTAAGTCAAAAACACAGGAATAAAATGAGATAAAGGAAAACAGAAGGGAGGAAATAAGGAAGAGAAAATCGAATATGGAATTAGAAACAGAAGCAAAATAAAAGATTATACACCAAACAGCAAATTTAAAATATTATTAATTATAATGATGTATTATATGACAACAGTAAAGCATAAAAATGACTACCTTAAGAAAAAGAAAGAAGAATGTGGAAATACAAAAAAAAAAAAGTAAAATATGGAAAGGGGAGTACTGATTGATACAGAAAAAAATTATAAAACCAAACATTTCTTAAAACTTTTGAAATAAAATTGAAAGCCTAGGTCAGTTGTAGAATGGATAGAAACTTTAAAGAGTTCCAGAAGAAATTAAGAAAGTTTTCAAAGAATTACATCTCTAAAAAGCACCAAGTTTAGACAGTTTCAAACTATCAAAAAATAGATTATTCTTATCCTATTTTAACTCTCCCAAGGTAGAGTAAAAGATTTAGTGCTCAAATTGTTTTCGTGTCTAATGTGATATCCAAATCTATCGAAAATAACATAACAAACTCCAATTGCATTTACCAATATGAAAATCAATAAAATATTAGCAAATATAACACATTATAAATTATAAGGTACTGTATTTTAAATTTTAAATTTTTAAATTTAAATTTTAAACACATTTTAAATTATAAGGCAGCACATTTTAAATTATAATGTACTGTAATTAAATTATATTTATCTCAGAAATACAGAAGTAGCTCAAGACTGGTAAATCCAATATAATACACAATTTGTTAATATAATATAATGTAAATAAAATAACATAAAAAAAGGTTATTGCATCAAACAAACAAAAAGACACTTGCAAAAACCCTACTTTTCTTTTTCATTTGAAAGGAAAAACTTGGTATAATAATAGATGACATATGAGTCATGAAGGGATTAATAATCATATAGAATAGAAATTGCTCTGTTTAAGGTAAGAAATACAGACACATCTATTTTAAAGCAAGATGAGGATACTATCAAAACTTAGGGGCACCTGGGTGGCTCAGTCAGTTGAGCGTCCAGCTTCGGCTCAGGTCACGATCTCACAGTTCATGGGTTCAAGCCCCACATCAGGCTCTGTGCTGACAGCTCAGAGCCTGGAGCCTGCTTCAGATTCTCTGTCTCCCTCTCTCACTTCCCCTCCCCCGCTCACGCTTTGTCTCATTCTGTTTCTCAAAAATAAATAAATGTAAAAAAAAAAAATAAAAAAAAAACCAAACAAACCTATTTGCTACTATCCTGGAAGTACCAGCCAAGGAAGTTAAGCAAGAAAAGCATATTATATGTGTTGGAAAGAAATAGGTGACATAAATATTATTTACCCTGATATAAAAAAAAATACTGGACTACTCCAGCCAAAATACAATTGAAAACAATAAGAGAATTCAATAAGAGGACTGGGAACTAAGTCAATTACAATAATTAAGGGTTTCCTTATCTTAAAAAATATAGCCAGCTTAAAATAAATAGAAGAAAATACCTAATTCAAATTATCAGCCTAAATAGTAAAATATGTAGAGATAATGTAGGATCTATATTGAAAAACTTAAGACTCTATTAAAATTTTCAGTTAAGCGAAATGGTTGGACCGCATGCATTTAATTCCTCTCCTTCCAGAGGGGAATTCTTATCATTTAAAGACTATAAATATCAAGAATATTCAGAATTCTTATAATTTAAATTCTTATAATTTAAAGAATAAACCACTTTAAACCCAGGGGGTGAAGAGAATGAGAGAAATAACCGTCGAACGAAAAATGGCAACCGATTTATGGCAGAAAGGAGGCAGATGGAGAGGGGTGAGGCCTTAAAGGAGCAGCCGAACTGCCATCTACAGAGCAGGACGTTGGCTACGCTATGGGCTCTCAGAGCATCTCCAACTCAACGTGGAGGAATCTGGTGCCGCCAAGAATGGGGTGACAATGGGATCGCACACACGCAGAGGTTGGTTGAATGTCTTTTTAGAGAACATTTGCATTTCCTGGCCCTCCCTATCATCTCCCAGTTCTCCATCTGTCAACCTTTCCCCACCCATTCTCTGCTTCTCTCCTTCCTCCTCCAGTCCTGGGCTTCTTTGCCCTCTGGACTCCAATTGGATTGAACCGACGAGGGGAACCGTCGGGAAACTGGAGGGTGGAAGCAGAGAAGGAAGTAATGGTGTTTGTTCCCCTATCTCGTTGTGGCTTTTTCACAATTCGGCTGTAGCCCTTCATGGGGCCAGCTCCTGTCTGGAGACCCTTCCGAAAATAGCTCTCAAGAGGCTCCAGAACATGCTCCCTCCCTTTGTCCTTTCAGGCGCGGGGATGGTGATGGCTTCTACCGCTCCTGGTCCGGGAGGGCTTCCCCCTCCAGGGCTCGGTCCATCAGCCCCACGCATTTCATTAATCGTTGCTCAGGCAGATGCCTGGACTGTGCGTACTGATTCCTGCTGGGCCCCTGGCTGATTCTGCTACGCAACCAATGCGGCCCGCGTACCCACTCCCACTCGAGACCCTGAAGGACTGTGTGGATGGAAAAGCTCAAACTCCGAGTCCAGGTATACAGAGATAGAGATAGGGGCTAGGGGCTAGGGATAGGGCTAGGGGTTAGCGGATGAGGATAGGGTATAGGAATAGGGGATAGAGAATAGGGATAGGAGATAGGGGATAGGGGATGGGGATGGGGGTAGGGATGGGAAATAGGGATAAGGAGAGGGGTAGAGATAGGGATAGAGATGATAAAGATAGAGACAGAGATATATCTGTATCTTTTTAAAACCTATCTATCTGTACTGCATATAGAAATTTTTTTATATATTATGTTGGTATAGCATACTTTTTTTTTTTTTTTTTTTTTTTTCCTGGTAAGAGACTAAAAATACCTGCTAATCTTTTGGGGAAAAAATTGTATAAGACAGAGCATGGCACAAGGCTTTGATCTTCACTGTAAGACTTTCTGTACATTCAATCAGTCCGTGGTGAGCCTTAAAGCCAGACTTTCTGGAATCAAATCTCTGCTCCATCATTAACAGCTGTATGACCCTTTGGTGCTTCATTTTTCTTATCTATAAAACAGGAATGATGATTTTTTTTTCACTTCATAAGGTTGCCTTAAGCTTCATTAAATAAGTGTGAAGCATTCACAACAGTGCCTGGCACATAGTAAGAATTCGATTAATGTTATGTTTATTATTACGTAAGAGGTGGGTGTATCTCTGGGACCATATTATTTATGCTCTTCAGTATTTAGACAAATAAATGATACTAATAAATCAGGAAAAATAACAAATAATGTTTTCTTTTTTTTTAATTTTTTTTTAAACGTTTATTTATTTTTGAGACAGAGAGAGACAGAGCATGGACGGGGGAGGGGCAGAGAGAGAGGGAGACACAGAATCGGAAACAGGCTCCAGGCTCTGAGCAGTCAGCACAGAGCCCGACACGGGGCTCGAACTCACGGACCGCGAGATCGTGACCTGAGCCGAAGTCGGACGCTTAACCGACTGAGCCACCCAGGCGCCCCACAAATAATGTTTTCAAAAGAAAAGACACATGCATCCTCACTCACATGCTGGCATAGATTATTTTTTCATATAAACTAATTGTCACTCATTAAAACACCGAAAATATGTCTGAGACCTCACAGCATGGAACGGAAACAGGTTTCAGGTGGGAGAAGAGGAAAGAAGAGGGGTTTTTTGAAAGAGCACTGGTCCCAGATTCAGCAATCCAGTCTGAGCTCCCTATTCTGCTCCCTACTAGCTGTGTGGCTGGGGGTAAATCACCACCCGTCTCTGGTCCTTGGTTTGTTTGTGAGAGTTGTAACAGATGCTCTCTTGGGTGCTGCACAGCTCTGAAAGTCTGTCCCATTTACTGGGAGATCAGGGACACTCTCTGCAAGGACTAATGTCCCTGGGAGCATCTGAATGGCAAGGCAGGAGGCAACCCACTTTTTGCCACTTTGGGTTGGCCTCTTCCTTGGACACAAATTTCTCCTAAAAACAATTAGTGAGGGGCGCCTGGGTGGCTCAGTGGGTTAAGCCTCTGACTTCTGCTCAGGTCATGCTCTCACGGTTGGTGGGTTTGAGCCCTGCGTCAGGCTCTGTGCTGACAGCTCTGAACCTGGAGCCTGCTTTGGATTCTGTGTCTCCCTCTCTCTCTGCCCCTCCCCTTCTTGTGTTCTCTCTCTCTCTCCCTCCCTCTCTTTCTCTCTCTCTCTCAAAAATAAAAATGTTAAAAAAAATTTAAAAACAATTAGTGAAACATATGGAGTCATTTTATTTACCAAAGAGGAGCCCCAAAACAGCAAGAGGAGAAAAGATACTCCCCAATGACAACCTGGTCAGGATTCCATCCCCATGCTCAGAGCGGGTCCAGAAATCAGTGCATCTTTACACCTGAGCCCAGGAAAGGCAGAGAGGAGAACTTCCGTCCCTCCTCTCCAGTCTGTCATTAATCTTCAGGGTGTGGGACTACTCAGGCATCTGGAGAGAAATTAGGAGTGGGCAAGGCAGCTCTGTTAATTTATTTCCAGGGAATTAGATGAAGTAGCTTTGCCTTACTCAAGGCTTATGTTTACAATCCTCTCTGGCTACCCTTTTTTTTTTTACCCCCTGCTTCTTTCTGCTTGGGTTATGTTAGCCACATGAGTAATTAGCAATTAGCAGCATACAACTTGCTATGTGCTAATGGTAGTGGATTTATTTGGCTCAAAAATCTGCTACTTTAGTTTTGGGCCCCTTAAGTTTCATGGTTAGATATTAAAACTTGAAGTTGTAAATGACAAAAAGCAAATGGAAGGCCCAAGGAATGAAGGAACTGGACAGTATATATGCATTATGATTCATTCATCGTATCCCCATAAAATAACCCTACCCTCCGCTTTTTAAGATGTCACCTCGTGTACCACAATAGATCAGAAAACGCTCTTGTGCACTTTCCCTTTCTATGGCCAAATTTAAATTCCCCATGAGATGGAAGATGCACTAATTTAAATCTGATGACAAAATTAGTAAATAGCACAATAACCACACTTTGAAATTTTTTCAGCTTTCTATCACGTCAGACTCGGGGTACCTTTGCTTAGGAAAGCCCTGACCCACTGCCTTCTCATATCTCTGCCTCCCAATAACCAGCGTGGAGACCCCAGCGACAGAAACATGCACGGAAAAACAACGGGGGCCTGAAGAAATTCAAGACAGGAGGAGAAGCGAAGTCGAGGATGACGGTAGCTGGACTGCTAATTTCTGTCAAGTTTACTGTTGACTTATTTGGCATGACTTATTTACACTCACAGTTTGGGGCTACGAACTGATTTATACAGGTGTCTTATCTCTCCGTTTACGTGCCTTGCTTAAAAAAATGTTTAATGTTTATTTGGTTTTGAGAGAGAAAGAAAGATGGTGCGAGCAGGGAAGGGCCAGAGAGAGAGGGACAGAGGATCTGAACTGGGGTCCCGTGCTGACATCAGAGAGCCCGATGCAGGGCTTGAACTCATGAACCATGAGGTCATGATCTGAGCCAAAGTCAGACGCTTAACCCACTGAGCCACCCAGGCACCACTCTCCATTTCTCAAGCGGGTGGTGAGAGGGGGGCCTGGCCAAGATACAAGGCCGGTGTATTTTCTGAGCCAGCCAGAAGCATTGCAGAAGAATAGGGCAGAACACTGATTTTATTTACCTTGTTCTAGCATCCTGTTCTTCATGCTGTCCAACTCTTCCCCGACATCCTCTAAACCAACCAAAATGGATGGATAAATAGCCAAGGTAAATCCTCTTCCAGATGAACACATCTGGCATCTGTGTTTTAACAGTGCTCAATCCTAGCTCATGTTCTATGGGATCAGAAACCATGCTTCCTGGGGCGCCTGGGTTGGCTCAGTCGGTTGGGCGTCCGACTTCAGCTCAGGTCACGATCTCGCGGTCCGTGAGTTCGAGCCCCGCGTCGGGCTCTGGCCTGATGGCTCAGAGCCTGGAGCCTGCTTCTGATTCTGTGTCTCCCTCTCTCTCTGCCCCTGCCCCATTCATGCTCTGTCTCTCTCTGTCTCAAAAATAAATAAAACGTTAAAAAAAATTAAAAAAAAAAAAAACCATGCTTCCTTCCACACAGGCTCCATGCCTCAGGGTCCCTTGGTGCTCACACAATCAATACCCTTTATAACACCAACCTGCCTACCTGGGGTGACTGTGAAGATAGAAGAAAACAAGTAAGCAGATGTCCTATACTACATGCTTGGCATGGAGATCAAACTTGTGTTCCAAGAGCAAATAGTCTGACTGAACAGACCCATGTGAAAATAGAGGACTATGATTTGATGAGGGGTGCGTTCACCGCTTTATAACCTGCAAAATGAAATATAAATGTGATGATGCATGGTCTCATTCTTCTAGCTTTTATCTTCACCAATGCTGCTCATAATCTTGGGCATCCAACAGTTGATGGAATAGTACACTCACAAAGTTCTTTTCTTACAGTTCATGACCTTGCTACTGTACACGAATTTAGTTGTTAATTCTTTAGATACTAAAGCTACAGACCTCTATCTCTGCTTTTCTTGTGTAGCTTTTACTCCTGAATGTTTTTGGTATTTATGATATATATATACATATACATATGAGTATATGATAATATACTATATATAATTCTTTGACTTCACTAAACTCATTTTGTGGCTGCCCCATTATCCTTGGTGTTTGTATAGCGGGGAACGTGTGTGTGTGTACGTGTGTGTAGATAGTAAAGGAGTCGCCCCTATCGTGTTGAAAACACTGGGGAGTTGATGATCTTACCTGGGGCCAGAGCTTCTAAACTATGGAGTTAAAGAAATCCAGAGAGTGAGCCTATCTCCTTAACAACTTAACTCTTGCTTTAGTCATGGCTTAAACAGAGGAGGACTGGGATAGGTCAACATGGAAGGCTGTAAGGACAGAGGGGACATGAGACCTGGACAAGCCATCCAGGAAGTCAAGTTCCAGTCTGGGAAAACAACGAGGTGGAGCAGGGGGAATGCGTGAACTGGCACAGAGTAGAGGACGTGTCACTAAGAAACCGTGGGCAGGGGGCGCCTGGGTGGCTCAGATGGTTGGGCATCTGACTCTTGATTTCAGCTCAGGTCATGATCTCATGGTTCTGGGATCAAGCCCCATGTGGGGCTCTGTGCTGACAGTGTGGAGCCTGCTTGGGATTCTCTCTCCCTTTCTCCCTCTCTCTGCCCGCCCCCCCCCCCGCCCATGCACACACAGGTGCCCTCTCTCTCCCTCTCTCTCAAAATAAATGACCATTAAAAAAAAGAAAAGAAACTGAGGGCAGAAACTCAGGTTCTGAAGAACTAGATGCTGGGGTCTGTGCTCTGATACTGAGCAAATGGTCAGCAGGGTCAGGACACAGGAGGTCTGAGCAATGAATGGGATCAAGATCTAGCTACAGAGTGATTCCTAATCAGATTTCCAGCCTCTTCAATCCTGGCCAGGACACGAGGCAGGTGGACTATATTTCCAGGATAACCAAGGGCATTGCGGAATAAAAATCCAAAGCTCCTAGGGTGGCTCAATCAGTTAAGCATCAGACTCTTGATGTTGGCTCAGGTCATGATCTCACGGTTCGTGGGTTGGAGCTCTGTGCTGAGCGTGGAGCCTGCTTGGGATTCTCTCTCTCCCTCTCTCTCTGCCCCTCCCCTGCTTACGCTTATGCACATTCTCTCTTTCAAACTAAATAAAATAAACTGTAAAAAAATCCAGGGACATCTGAATGGCTCAGTGTCTGAGTCTTGATTTTGGCTCAGGGTATGATCTCAAAGTTTGTGAGATCAAGCCCTGCATCGGGCTCTGCACTGACAGGGTGGAGCCTGCTTGGGATTCTCTCTCCCTCTCTCTCTCTGACCCTCCCTCATTCACACACATGTGCACGCTCTCTTTCTCTTAAAAAACAAATTAATTAATTAAAAAAATCCAGAGCCCCTATATCAGAGGTTACAAAGTGCCCATGGATCAAAACCAGCCCATAGGTTCAGTAACGGTAGCCAATACCTATATTATACCTGCCATGTGCCTCTAAATGGTTTGTGTATATTAATATATAATATATAATATTAATAAAGAAATTTGTTAACAAATATGAATAAATTCCATCTTTACCACAACCTTGAGGAGTAGAGATTATTGTCTCCCCATTTTACAACTGAGGGGTTTACACAGAGAGGTTAAGCCACTTGGCCACAATCACTCAGCGAGGAAGTGGAAGACTCAGGAATCGAACCCAGAAGGTCTCTGAAGCCTGGGATCCTAAGTGCTGTGCTCCACTTTCTAATTGTGTCTTATTTGGCTCAGGGGCTGACATGTAATAATTTAGAATGCATTGTGAGCATTTAAAGATTGGGAGATAGTACATAAAATTCACAGTTCTAGTTTCTCTTAAATAGTTGGAATGACTGTCAACCTGGGTCCACATTTCTCCACAGCAAATTGTTGGAACTGGCAGTTACCGCCTCTTAGGTGGCGCCTGAGGTCTCTGCTTCCCCAGAACCCACCACTCCCTCATGTCCACACCTGACTCCTTTCACTCACCCTGTTGATGAGGCAGCTTTTAGACCAAAGTACTGATCTTTCTCTACCCGTGTTGTCCAACATGGTGGCCGCATGGGAATCTCTACACTTAAGTGTCTTTAATTGAATTAAAAATTGCCTCCCTTAGTCTCACTGGCCTCATTTCATTTTTTTAAAATTTATTTGTTTATTTTGGGGCAGGGGAGAGGCAGAGAGAGAGGGAGAAAGAGAATCCCAGTAGGCTCCTGCACTTTAGTGCAGAGCACAATGCAGGGCTCGAACCCCCCAACTGGCGAGATCGTGACCTGAGCCAGAAGCTCAACCAACTGAGCCACCCAGGCCCCCCTCACTGGCTACATCTCAAGTGTGCAGTAGCTACACGTGATTATTGTTGAATTGGACAGCGCAGATAAAGAACATTTCCATCATTGCAGAAAGTTCTATTAGACATCGCTGGTCTGGAGAGAAGACTATCCTTTTCGTTAGCTTTTGCACCGTATTCCAGCAACCTGAGGAAGACGATATTCACAAATTGTCCCTGCATACGGCACTGTGGAATTATTTCCTGGAATGATGGATATGAACCAACAAAATGCAAACCTGCCACCCGCTGAGGTCTCTTTGTTCTAGAGCCCAAACTCCCTTCAACACTCCATGGAAGTTATAATCTTGCCCAAGAGTTCTGGACATATTCATGGCACCCTTGTTCTCACAGTGACTTCTGCCTCTTGACTCCTATTTCCTTACTGCATAAACCTAGACATCCAACTAGCCCTTTGGCTTTGTTTTCCACATACAAAACACAAAATATCCACATAAAAAATGCTTATGGGTAGGGTAGGGTAGGAAAGGAGCATTTCAATGGAGTTTTCAAGGTAACATCAGGCATCTTCAAATTTCATCCGGCCACCTAACCACAGAGTACTCTCCACTACCCCTGTCCTCAAGGCAACCTTCAACATAACCCCATGTTAGTGTCTCCTCTCTCTCCGACCCTTTTCTCTTTCTATGTCTTCAGTTCTCCCTCTCACGTGTACCATAAATTCCTTCTCTGGTCTCACATCCTCTTTGGTGATATTTTGTAGTCCTGCCTCATTGAGACCCTTTTATTTCCCCCCAGAATCTTAGCTACTCAAAGCAAAGTTGCTTTGGGTAATTTCCCAAAGACTGGAGAAACTGGAGAAACACTCCAGTACTAGCTATTAAAAGAGTGGACCTTTCACCTCTGAATAGGAGCATAATTTCTTCTTTCTTTGACCCCCTTAAAGCCTGCAGCATTATAAAGCTTCTTTGCTCTGCTATGCTAATGGAACAAACCAAATCTGCTACACATCAGGGACACGCTATCCCTGGATTCACAGAAAGGCTTGCAAGTGCACAGGAACCCACAGCTCTACTTTGTGCAAGACTTGAAATCTCAGTTCAGATTAGGAAGACTTAAAAATTCCATGGAGGAGGGGTGCCTGGGTGGCTCAGTTGGTTGAGTGTCCGACTTCGGCTCAGGTCATGATCTTGCAGTTTGTGGGTTCGAGCCCCGCATCAGGTTCTGTGCTGACAGCTCTGAGCCTTGGAGCCTGCTTCGGATTCTGTGTCTCCCTCTATCTCTGTCCTTCCCTCGCTTGCTCGTTCCCTCTTTCTCTCTCAAATAAATAAAAACGTTTAAAAAAATTCCATGAAGGACTTTTAAAAAGGATTGATGTAGACTTCTCAGGTTGTAACTTCTTTTTTTCCTGAAAGTCACTTAAATGAAAAGGATTCGTATTTCTATGTGAAAATAAACATTTTGAGTCTTAATTCTCCAAGGCACAACTGTTACCTATAATGCCAACATGACTTTTTTTTTTTTAAGTTTATTTATTTTGAGAGAGAGAGTGTGCAGGAGAAGCAGAGAGAGAAGCAGAGAGAGAGAGAATCCCAAGCAGGTTCTGCACTGATCTGAGCTAAAATTGAGTCAGACATTTAACCAACTGAGCCACCCAGGCGCCCTCCCAACATGACTTTAATTTTCTGGGTTAGTAAAAGAAAATTTGTTTGGGGACTGACTCCTATCATTTAAACTTTGTTTAGCATAGTGATTACCCAACATTAGTGTGCATTAGAATGCCCTAGAATCCTCCTTAAAATACAGATTGCTGGATTTCCCCATGGAGTTTCTGATTTAGTAGGTCTCTGATGACAATTTTGGTTTCTAAATGCACATATAGAGAAATCAAAATTAAAAGATTAAACTGTGTGTGTGTGTGTGTGTGTGTGTGTGTGTGCACCCTCATTGACCCTACTGTACTTCTTATAAAGGTGGGCTTATTTTTGTTTCTGTCAAAAGGGCCTAGGCTCCTTCCAATTCCCTAGGCAGGTTGAAGAAGATTTGGGGGTCACAAAAAGTGATAGTGTATGCATGATTATCCCACCCCATTTGGGGGGTGGTGGTGGTATTTAATCCAGTACAGAAACGAAGATCTCCTAACTGGCTTCAGATCATCCCAAAAGGAAGACAGGACTCCTCTGTTGGATAATGTTTTCAAAGTGTTCTAGGTAAGAAAAAAGGCTCCCAAACTGGGACTGTACCTTTAGTTTTCAAGGATCCCTTGGTACAGGAATAAAGTAAAATTACGGGGCAGGAAAAATATGAGGGCCTATGAATCAGTCCATGTGCATGCGTACCTTCATCAGGACAATTGTTCCCCCAGAACCTTCTTGGATGCTGGGATTTCTTCATCCTGAGCCTTTTTTGTAACCCTGGTGACCATCAGCACATCCTGATGACTGGCATCTGCCAGTCGTGGTCAATGTCACCATAACAACCACTTTTTCCACTGCTCTGTGTCTCTCCCACTGCTGCTTCCTCCTAAAACTGACAAGCTCTTTTATACACCGCATGGTTCCATTTTAACAGGTTATTTTATATAGGGTTATATGAATAACCAGATATATCCTTTGTGTTGAATCATATAGGTCCACCAAACATCACATCTCTCAAATGAGGAGTCCCCAAAACCCAGTGCCGGTCAGAATAATTTCAGCTTTCTTCTCGTCATTGGGTTCTTTCTTCTAAAAATGGAATGACAAAAAATATCACAGTTGATGGAGGCAGCCTTAGACTTAGCCCAGCTAGATAGGCTTTACAGTGAGTGACAAATAGCTTTGCTATTAAGTCTTCTCTAACAACAACAAGTTGTGCTTAATGCAAAGTCCCCCTTAAATCATGAGAAGCTGGATAATCTCGCAGCTGAGAGGCAATGCTTAACTAAGCATGCATTGCTGGGTTCCATGAGTCTCCAGTGTCCTGCAAATATAGTGTTCCTTCTCCACGAATGGAAGAGGATGATGAGAAAGGAAGTCCTTGGTGAAACCGTGAATTCATGAAAGATGGTCTTTGTTCTCCATCCCCTCCTTCAACTTTTTCCCTTACCCAGTTGGATCCATGGATGCATTCTTGCAACTTCTCTGTAAGACTTAAATCATTACAAAATTATTTCTTTTTTACCTAGACTGTGACTTTAGTTATTACTGAATGAAAGGTCCTGAGAGTGACACATACCCCGCTTCACTTTTCTGACACTCTGTGTCTCACCTCCATCCCTCCAAAAACACTGCTTTTCTTGGTCATGTTTTTTTTTTTTTTTTTTTTTCTGGGAGAAGCAAAGTCTTTTCAAAATAAGATTTCTATACATCCCATTAAAAGAGAAATTTATTGTATTTGAAAATATATGAGTTCAAAGTTTTCCACTGCTTTATCTACAGATCCTAACAGCTAATGCTATTGAGTACTTCCATATGCTGATTACTGTGCAAGTTGCCTTCCACATTATTCCATGGAATCTTCACAAAATCTCTAGAGGTAATCTCTAATGAGGAAACTGAGGCAGGGAAGATTATGCAAGTTTCCCAATGTCACACGACCATCAAGGGTAGGTCAATGTGACAAAAAAAAATCCATTTTATCTTCCAAAGGGGGGAACCCATTTCCTGTTTCTTCGGAGAGGGGAAAATCTGAAGCTCTTGGGAGAGAAGGACAGTTCCCATAATAAGTCTTGCTGGCTGTGAAATTGACTATTTTCCAGGGTGATATAAAAAGCAGGCGGAAAGGTGATGTTAATGACACTTGAGGCTCCTTCTTGGTATCTTTGCACTTCCAGATGCTGAGCGGGAAAATCTCTCTGTCCCTAATTACTTTTGACAGTCTTGAAAATGAAGTCAGGTCAGAGTTACAGTCAGAATATTCAGGCAGAATATTCAGGCTGCAGCTGAATTTATTACAAAAGGACAGAAGAACTTGATTTTGGTGTATACGACTCAGTAATTGCTAAAAAAAAAAAAAGAGCAGAGGCAAAGCTGAAAATATAGATAATTGGAGGAACAACAATCATTATGGAGATAATAGAGGTACATTCCTCTAGAACCACGGCTTTTGGTCAGCACTTAAATCATAGGTTCTAAATTTATCCGTCCTCTCTGATGCAAAAGCAATGTTCTAAACAATCTGGAATGTAGTAATGAAAAGAAAAGAATGATACAGAATATTGTCTTCACAACCTCAATGGCCTTCAAGTGTATTCTTCTAAAGAACTCATCATCATGGTGAGACCCAGAAGCTCTTTAGAAAGCAACTCCTACCTTTGAACCTGCCATGTTCACGTGGGCCCCACATGCTTCCCTCCTGCCATGTCCCTTGACTGGCACGCCCCTGACACCCTTTATCAATCTGGGTCTTGCCATCCTCCATGGCCTGGCTCAGTTTTGCTCTTCCAGACCTCTTTCCCTGACCACCCCCACACAGCATGAATGGTTCATTCAACAGACAATTACCACACATGGTCTTGTGGTCATTCTCAAATTATTGTCTTCAATGACCATTTGAATCTTGAATCGTATTTTCATTTCCCATGTGTAGCAGACTTGTTTCTTTATTTAGCTTGGAATTTCCTTAAGGCCAGGGTTGTGTGCCCCATGACCAAGTGGAGAGGAGGTCCAGTAACTGGCAGATAAAGTAATGGGGCTGTTGGGCAGAAGTGGAAGGTACAGAGGAAGAAGAGATGGCCTAAAGATGCTGGGGTCGAGGTGGGACATACCGTAAACAATGTACCAGGTGTAGAGCTCAGGAGAGAAGTCTGCTGTATTTAAAGAAATTGGGGAGGAGAAGGAGAGGAAGAAAAAGAAGAAGGGCAAGGGGAGGGAGAAGTGAAGGAGGGAGAGGTGGAGGAAGAGGGGGAAGAGAAGGAGGAGGAGGGGGAGAGGAGGAGGAGAGGAGGAGGAAGAAGAAAACTGGGGAGAGTAATTCTGATTCTACCACTTCCTAGTTGAGTCAGAAAAGACCAGTTCCCCCAGCTGTGTGTGGTTTCCTCATCTGTAAAAAGAGGATGAAGGGACTTGTCTCAAAGTGCCACCAGGAGGATAAAATGAGATACTGCATGTAAAGGTAATTGTGGTCTCTACCCTCCTTTCATACAAGTCCTTTCTTTCTACTACAGGGGAACTAAAACGTGACTATTGGAATTACAGGAGTGGAGGAAAATCGAGGAGATGTTTTGAAAGCCAAGGGCGAATCTAGCAGACATGTAGCAAATTGACCTCTGTAACAATCAAGGAGACAACAGAAGGAAAGTAAGCACTAATTGGGCTCCAGTTCTGTCTCAAGCGCTCTGCTGGACTAGGTTGCCATGGTTGGTAAATAAAACAGTCTTTGGGACCCTGATTCCAAATAATGAAAAGTATCTCATAGCAGATTAAATACTCAAGGTCTGGAAATTTTTAAATAGCATTATTTAAAGCCAGAACATAAACTGGAGTAACAAATTCAATGCTAGTCAGCTCAGCATCATTTGTGGGGAAATACCAGGAACGGTTGTGAAGGGAACAACTTGATAAACGTTAAGGTAATTTGATTAGAAACATGCAATATATGCTTCTGATGGGAGAAGATATTCTAACAGCTCACTGGTTGGCTTACTTTGAAGTAATTTACTGCCATGGTTTCTGAGTTTAGACCAACATCCCTCCAGTTAATGATAATGGATTAGGAGCACTAACCATACTATAGCTAATAGCTTAAGATTTTTTTTCAAGTGTGGAGGTAGAACAAAGAATAAAAATGATGGAAATATAATGTTGAAGGTGAAAGAGACAGTAAGGAGGGATATATAGCTTAAATCTGAGAACCCCCCAGGTAAAATGTGTATTTTTAAATTTACACAGAGTTTGCATTTGGAATATATACAGGTATCTGCATCTTTTCAAGAACACTGTATGGAAAACAAAACTTATTACAAAAATTTTTTTCATCGGTTGATAATATGAAGCAATATTAGGCAAATGGATACATTCTAGTAAGATTGCAGTTATATTTGCGATGTCTATCTGGGAATTTAAAAATTATGATGCTCAAGGAAAGAATGCACTCAAACTGTGAGTGCATAAATACACTAGGAATCATTAAATGAAGATGGTTAAGTAGAGTTGTGTAGGACTCGAACTCTGGGGATGAACTTTCTTCAGTGCCTTTGATAACTCATGGCACATTCATCCCCTCGGAATTTCTCTTGACTCTGATCAAGGGCTCTGGTTGGCAATGCTCTGCCTACAAGTCGAATGCTAAAGGGTGGCTGAGCATGACTTCTCTCCAGCCTGAGAGCCAAATGGGACACAAGGATGTCCAGCTCTCTCTCCAGGAACTCTCTAAAGGCTCTGAGGAGCAGGTGGGAGGGGCACGACCAGCCATCCTAGGTCAGCTCCACATCAGATTCACTGCACTGTGGATGTGGAATCACCCTCTCTCACATTGGTTCAACCACCACCACTCCCAACCCCCGGAGCCTCACACACTGTCCTTGGATGCCCACGTTCCATCCCACCCCAAGGCAGCCAACTCACGTCAGTGTTTTGCTTCATTTCCAAGGGCGAATGCCTGCCTTCCTCTAGCAGTAACCTGTTATGTGACCCTGAGCAAACTGTATCATTTATCACTGTCTTGTGGCAACCACAGCCATCTCCGAGTACTCTAGTTCCATGAAGTGCCATCCTTCAACCCACCTACAAAAGTATCATTCCCTCCATCCTCTCAGGGACCTTTCTAAAACATCTACCAGGTGGGAATTGTAACATCCGCATTACCCACTTGACCAGGTTACCTGGGGGATGAATTAAGCTAATTCATGCCGAAAGCTGTGGAAATAGTTGAAATTACTGCACAACCTCAAAAGAAGATGTGTTTTAACTCTGCCATTTTCTATGGGATCAGCTGGGGTTTTTTTAAACTTCCTAGAGGAGAAATTTAAGCGATATTGTTATAAACAATCTCTAAACATTTAACGTTGTTACAAAAGACAACTTGATACGTGAAGCCTCCTATTCACTCTTCACTACAAAGCTAGGAACTAAATGCTGAAATGAGGATTAATGATATGAAGACATTTGATTCTTAACTCTTTGATAACTCATGCTATGTTTTATTAATCTCTGTCTCCCTAGGATCTAGCCAAGTGCTGATCCCACAATAGAAGCTTCATAGGTAATTCTTGGATTAATTAAGGAATATTCTCCAGGCCACACAGCTCATCAAAATAATACAGACCGTCAGCTTCTTATTTCTCTATGAAGAAAAAAAGCACACAGTGAATTCCCTCCATGTAAATGTTTGTGAGATGCTAAGCATCTTCCTGAAGAACTATGGGACTTACCTCCTATTGCCTATTTCTTTTTTTTTTAAGTTTATTAATTTATTTTGAGAGAGAGAGAGTGAGCAGGGGAGGGCAGAGAGAAAGGGAGAGAGAGAGAGAGAGAGAGAGAGAGAGAGAGAGAGAGAGAATCCCAAGCAGGCTCTCACTGTCAGCACAGAGCCCAATGTTGAGCTCAAACCCACGAAGTGTGAGATCATGACCTGAGCCGAAACCAAGAGCCCGGCGCTTAACTGACTGAGACACCCAGGAGCCCCGGCGTGACTGTTTCTAGTGACAAGGACCATTCCCCACTTCCCTCAAATACACATGAATGCCTTTTATTTCTCTTCTGATGGTTAGGGCATTTTCTGTCATGGAGATGGGCAGAATGGGGGCACCCATGCCAACTTCATGAACAGGCCTAATGCAATGTCTGGGTGGCATACCAGTTTGTATTAGTGAAACTAAAAGGCAAAAGGCTTGGGAGTTAATTCGATAAAGAAAGCTCCTTATCCAGATGCTGAAATGACTGAGAAGCCATGTGGCGTTTCACCGTTCCCAGGAAGAATCTTCAATTTGGTCAGAAGTCGGAATATTCACTTTAAAATTTTAAAAAACTTTTAAAATGTTTATTTATTTTTGAGAGAGAGAGGGAGAGAATGAGCAGGGGAAAGGCAGAGAGAGAGGGAGACACAGAATCCGAAATAGGCTCCAGGCTCTGAGCTGTCAGCACAGAGCCTGACGTGGGGCTCGAACTCACGGACCTGGAGATCATGACCTGAGCCGAAGTTGGACGCCTAACCGCCTGAGCCACCCAGGCACCCCTCACTTTACAACTGGAAGGACAAGTGGCTGCCTGGATATGGGGTGTCAGGAGAGACAGATTGCCAAGGGATACCAGGAAATCACGGCAGTGCTTGGTATCTTGATGTAGTGGTACTTTCACGGGTGTACGTGTCTGACAAAATTCATCCAAAGTACACATTTAATGTGTGCAACTTATTAAAAACAAATTATACCTACATCGAATTGACAAAAGATAAAAAGGTGAGGGGACAGGACAGAGAAAGTTTGCAGGTTAAACACATAGCAAGAATTAGCAGGTGAGGGAGAGAAAGAACTTTTGCTTTAATTCTAGTAGGGCTGTTAAAAATTGTCAAATGCCGTATTACCTAAAGTGGGTTTTATTCAACAAGTCTTGCAAAGTGAGAGAAATGTATGCTCCAAGGTCAAGTGAATGTGGGAAATGGGTTAATGTTCTGTCATCACATGGTAGCATACATAATAAATAGGCTTTATGAAGTCTTGTAAACATTTTTTTTGTTTAATTTACGTCACTTGGCATTCCCCAAGCTTATTTCAAGTGACACCTATTAAAACATCTTTCCATGCAGACATAAGAAATGTCATGTAGCTAAGTAAGAGACAGCGCTGGTTAAGAGCACAGGCTTTGACAGGCAGATGTCTGGATCTGTTCGACCACTTCCGTAGCAGTGAGATCTCAGGCAAGTGATAGAAACCCTCCAAATGTTAGTTTTCCCCTCTGTGAAATGGGATAATAGAAACTACGTTATAGGGTTGCCCTGAGGACCAAACAAATAACTCATGGAAATGGTGAGGGCAGCATACAGCAGGACCCCCCAAATACTAGATTTCATGGGCTAGTAGGAAAGCTGTGACTACAGTCACATTTCAGACAACCTCCAGCCTATCAGCTCGGACTGTTTAGCCAACAGCAAGAAAACAAACTCTGAGTCGGTCAGGCTCTCCCACGGACACTCATTGCCCATACTTGGTATTGCACAGCTGATCTCCTCCCTCCTTATCACTCACACCATCTTCCCAGCAGCATGGAGAGAAAGGAAACGATGCAGAACTGACTTAGGGTGAAAGCCAAGTTCATCCTCCTGGGGCTGACTAGGAGGTTAAGTATCCTACTTCCCTCAAATCAGTCGAAACTTGTGACAGTTTTGTTGTTCTTCCAAATAAAGATACAATGAACTTCGCAGGGTGGGGGCTTGGAGCAGGAAGAAGCCTAAAAGTCACAAACTCAGGGAGATCTCTGAAAACAACCAAACAAAACAGAAATGGAGACCAGTGCTCCATTTGGTTTACCTGCAATTCACCTGAACCAAACACCCAGACACCTAAGATGACTGAGAAATGCTGCTGCTTATTAATATTCAGATGTGACTTTTACCTAATTATCTTGTCCTCTCTACCAGTCCTCATCTCCAAGTTGACGACAGGAGCTAACGGCACTCCATCAGAGGTGGAGCCCACCAGCACAGCGCGCAGGCAGGCTTTCAGAACACACGCTGGGAGAGGATGGGGTTGCCATAGCAACACCGTCCAGCACTCTCAAATCCTCCCGCCCCTTAGCACCCTTCTTGCCAGGCTCTCATCTTCTCTGGCAGCTTTCTTTCTTCCTTTCCTTCTTTCTTTCTTTCTTTCTTTCTTTCTTCTTTCTTTCTTTCTCTTTTTTTACTTCATGATTAACATGGACAAAGAGTGCAGAGAGGCAATTAATGCCACATCATACGAAGCCCTGGATCTCTGTGTAGGCAAAGCACCCAGGATCAACATGATAACTATGCCCAGTTATTCCCAAACCAGGATGCACATGAGAATCATCCATGACTTGAAGCCTGGGTGCCTGGGCTTGATTCCAGACCTAGGGACTCAGACTTCTTAGAAATTCAGCCTGGGAATCCACACTTATTTAATAAGCTCCACAAATTCAGGGAATCGCTAATTTATTCCAACCATTTTATTTTATGCATAAAGAAAATGAGCTCCTAAAGCCTCAGAAGTGAACGAACCAAACCTCCTGACCCCCCTGGCAACTTATTTACATATTACAGGCAAACTGAGCCCCAGTTAATGCGCCCAGGTTCCAGGAGAATTATCTGCACGTGCCTATTCTGTGCCCCATCTTGCAGTAACATATCCTTTTTCCCAATTCCCTGCCTCTAATTTGCTTGATTGACTCGCGGCTTGGCTTGTCTCTAAATGTGGCTGATTACAAAGAATCTCTGGA